CACGTTCGACGCGCTACGCTGCTAATCGCGGCGCCCCGAGTTCAATTCCCGCCCACTGCTCACGCCAACACCGGCGATTGTTACCTGAAACCGGTTCTGGGCCTCCCCTGGGTCGACTCAGCCTCGAATGAGTAGCTGGTGCCGTGCGTCGTAAACATCGCCAGTCGCGGAGACAAAGGCTGCTTGGTCGTGGTGCTAACCACCACGACCTCTCGTGTGCCGTGCCGGCCTCGCGAACAGCACTTGCCTCACCAGTCTGCCAAGGCTATACGGGGCGAGAAATTTGTCTTTGTCTATGTCCGTCTCTGTCGGTCCCTGTTTGTCTGTCTGTCAGGTCCACACGAATTGATACCCGTTGTAAATCGGCACTCGCATCCATTGCACATTCACGATTGGGCTTGTGTGTGTGTGTTCTTTTTCCCAGTGTGTTTGTGTGTGTGTGCGTGTGCACATTCCCGTCAACCCATACGGGTTTACCCCGTGATATTGTACTGGGAAATTGAGTTTCCAGGTCCATACGGCGTGCAGCCGTTTCAATACGGGCGAATATATATGCATTTGTCTATTTGTTTGTGTTTCTCTCCTTGTGATGGGACTTTGTATGATGAACGTTGAGATTTATAAGGGGCACGGGGTGACCAATAAGGTGTGAATTGGTCTGTAATGAGGTAGGCACTGATAAGGGGTTGGCAGCTATACGTGTGTGTGTGTGTGTGTTTTTGTCTTTGTATCTCTCCTCGCCTTCCTCTCACCTCCCTCCTACTCTGTTTATGATGTTGTTGTTGTTGATGCACTAAACGTCACATTCCTGCAGGTTAGAACATGCATTCGCAAGTCTCCCTCCCGTGTCTGCGTACACAAATGCACTGCGCGTCACAGGCCATCACCCTATTGGCTTTCCAGACCGATATTATCCGGCAAGCATCGCTTATTTTTCAGCAAAGCAAGCTCCGTTGGTGGATAATTTCTGTTTGATTTCTGTTCGCCCACGATCATTCGAAGCGATGGCTTTGGCAGGACACGCACCGGACCACGAAGCTGGGGGCCCTCCGAGTTCGATTCCAAGCAACGGCGAACACCAGCGGCGAGCGATTTACGTGAATCAGTCTTTGTGGTGCCCTTCTCGCCGACCACCCCCCCCCCACCCACCTATGCTCCCCGACCTTACCATCCCATCCTCTTAACCAACCGGCAGTGACCAGTTTGGTGAAGTATGGCGAAACGATCACCCAGGGCGGACACCGTGAGCGGGTTGAGGCCTTCATCCGAACAGCGGATTGATAGGAGAAGGGACCTGATTATTGAAAATGACAATCCTTGAGCACGATCCGTTAAAGCGACAGCAGAACGGAGTCACTGGGGGAGGGAGCGTTTGAGAAGAAACGAACCGGAGTCCTTGCTATATCCGGAAGAGTAAGAAGAAGAATTTCGCCTTGCAATGCGCCGCTCGCTGTTCGCTCGCTCTCTCTCTCTTGGGGAGAGCGAGCGAAGGACTCAGAGGCGCGAGTCGGAACCGCAGAGAAGTGGGAAGGCAGCTGTGGAGCAGCCGGCGCTAACCAACAATTGCCCAAGCTCTGCAGGTCCTCTACATATATGAAGGTGTTATCGGGCCAATTAATGATGACTGTTTGCACGTGGGAGAAAACCGAAGCATCCACGCGTGGCAAGGGGGAAACGCTCTATCCCTCGTACAGACAGAGCAGGTGGAGTCCACATTTGCTGTGCTGCCTTCCGGCGAGCCAGGGTTATGACTCCTTGACGCCCACGGGGAAGAAAGCCACAAGGTTTCTAAAGGCATCTTGAGACTTGTGTAGACGCTGTGGTTTTGTTGTTGTTGTTGTTGGATGGCCCATTCAGGAGGCACCCATTGCGCGTGTTCTCGTTGCGATGTTCGTTTAAGATTCCGCGTGGTGCCGCTGCTGCCTCCTCCTCCTCCTCCTCCCTCTCCCCTCTGTTGCCCTCGCCTGATGACATCATTCGCGACAATGACTTACAGAAAGACACAAACATCTTATTGCGCTCTTTTTTAATATAAAACCTCTCCGTGTTCCTCTGTTCAATTTCCCAAAGAATTGTTTCATTATGTTGGCGTCTAGACATTCATCGTCCTTGCTTGCTCATTGCTATTGTGGAGCGTTTCGGGCACATCATTCTATCAAACGTAGGATTAGGGGCTTTGATTATTATTATTCTACTTTTTCTGGGTTGTAGATATTATAAAACACGTGTTTAATAATTCGCCTCTGGTCTCCGAGACGTACATATATTTAGTTACATATTTCTCCATCGCTCTTTGAGCCCATTTTGAAAGCAGTGGCCTGAGGACTGAAACGGCATCTCGTGCTAGCGAACTCGTGGTGCCGTGGTTAGCGCACTGCCCTATGAACACCCGGCAAGTTGAGTTTGATTCCCTTCGATCACGAGTGGCATTCGGGTGCCGAGGAATATCTGAACCCTCCCCGGACCTCTGCCCCATTCATTCAACCAACCCGCCACCGATCATCGTGGTGAAGTATGGTCACGCAATCCCCCATGGTGATCTTCATCGAGCAGTGGATTGACAAAGGTGATGTGTCCTTTGGTCAGACGCGTAATGGATTCAACGATTCGTTCCGACTTATTCGGCCTCAAATAATGAACACCTTTGGATTCTTAATATCTGATTTTCAATTGCAACTTTCTGCAAACGCGTCTCTCTATATATATACACACGTATACAGTCAGAAATCATATCGGTCATAAATTGTACTCTTTAAAAGCATGTCTACGGCCATATAAAAAAATAAAATCCACAAATATACTTTAGTGTATCATATAAGGGGTCTTGTCCATAGATTTACGCTCATACAGGTGCCTACAGTTTACGCGTCATAAATCATAAATCATTTAGGAATGTAATATTTATGTATGAATATTTCAACACGGGGCTGTTTTTATTTTATTTTAGGACAGCAATCCCAGGCACCACGACGTCTCCCCCCCCCCCCCCCCGCGCCTCTCGCTGCTCTCCTGCTAGCTGCTGCCAAATATTGGAGCATGTCACCCAAAAGGCCATTTCACTCGCACCTGACCGCTCCTGCAGCCTGCAGAGCTGTTGTGACAGCGAGCCGATTTGCCTTTCTTAACAATAGCGGGGGTCTCTCTCCTGCCTCCTCTGGCTACCACCGACCACCGTTCGTTCTCCATATCACCTCAATATATATACGCACACGCAAAAACGCCTCTCCCGCAACACTGCTGCGATCATCATCATCTATGAAAATGTCCGTAATCATCATCATCATCACCATCATCATCTATGAAAATGTCCGTAATCATCATCATCATCACCATCATCATCTATGAAAATGTCCGTAATCATCATCATCACCATCATCATCTATGAAAATGTCCGTAATCATCATCATCGTCTGTAAAGCGACGAGCGTGTTCCTATCCACCCACCTGTTTGCCCGCTCACAAGCATGGCCAGTAGCGATTTCTCTCTCTCTCTCTGTCTGTCTGTCCGTCCGCATTGCTCGTGTGTCTATCTTTCTGCACCTCGCCTAACGTGCGAGTGATGATTAACACGCTACGCCTGCGTGCGTGTTGCGGATAGTTGCACGGCGCTGCTATACCCCCCTGGCTCTGTCCATCATCCAGTTTCGAAAGGAAGACGAAACCCCCCCCCCCCCCCAAAAAAAAATATCGCGCACGCAGCTCGCTCAAGCGCGCACTATTCGTGTCGCTGTCATTGTCCTGTCAACGTCGATGGGGTGGATGTGTGGCTTATATGTATGTAATGTGCTATGATTCTTCTTCTTCTCGCTCCGGTGACCGGGTATTGTCAAATAAATATATAAATGCATACACCGCACGCGCGCGCGCACGCAAATATTACGGGCGTGAAGATCGCTGTGTCGGTGACGAGTAACGGGGCATCAGCGACAGAAACAATCCGAGATCATATTTTGCGATCGGTAGGCACGCTGTTAACACGGGTAGTAACAGCGTTACCGACGACACACTCTACAACTAATGCTTAATTTGAAGACAACAACAACAGCGATTGAATTTCAAAGTAAGATCTTCCTTTAAAAAAAAAAGAAACCCCCCTCCCCCCATCGTTCTTAAGAACTCATCGAGGATTCCTTAGCTCAAGGAGAATTGCTACCCTGGATCAATAATGAATTCACTACGTGTCCGATTCCACGCACAGAGCCCGCGTCTCAATGCACACGAGCAACAGCAACAGCCCTGCTGTCCCACGCCTCCGTGGGCATATTCAGAGACGTCGAAACGAACAAATAAACACACGACCAAACGCAAGCATCCTAAAGGCGTGACTCTCCTGCAAACGAGTCGCGAGACTCGCCGATGCTTCGACATCAGGAAGAATGACAACCCTCGATACACAAATGAGACATTGCCACTCTCGCCCCACGTTTGGCTCGGACGTGCGCATGACACGCGCGCGCGAAATATTTCGCATCTCCGTTCAACGTGCAATTCATTTTTCACGTTAAATAAAAACAATCCTAAAAAGCTGGACCCTCTTGAAAATGAGTGCCGAGGCTCATCGATGGTTGGCTTTGCCAAGGAAAAAAAAACAGGGAGAATTACTTTCTACCCTCGATAAATAATTCATTACCCCCAGACGATCCAAGCTCCACGTCTGTATAGCTCGCACATCTCACATCTCCTTTGGCCGTAAGTCTCGCAGCGACCCTCCTGAAAACGAGTCCCGAGACTCAGCCGCGCTATCTGTGTCCGAAAAAATATATATAGAGACAACAATTACTATACCCTGGACGAATAGTGAATCACAACGGCGCTGCCTGTCCATCACTCACTCTGCCCGTACGCGTCGCAGGCAGCGCGTCTAACATAAGACAAATGTACCACTGCGTAGCCTTTGCAGCCTGTTGGGGGCAAGTGCTGTCAACGAGCACCTGGTGGAGGTACCGACACGGCACGCGAGGCTATAAAACGCACAGACACAGACGGACAACGGCACTCACATCTCGGTGACGTTGCCCATATCCGGAGCCGTCTCGAGCACGGGGAAGGCTCCCAGGGTGTTGAGCTGGCTGCAATTGAGTCGACCGGGTACGGTGCAGTTGCACGCATCCGGGCATGCCGAAGACGTGGCACCGCTCGTCGACACGACGACCAGGAGTCCCGCCGCGAGAAACCAGGAGGAGGAGGAGGACCTCATCGTCCTACTCCTCCTCCACCTCCTCCTCCTCCCGGCTGTTCCTTGGATGGACGACGACGACTCCTCCATCGTCTTTGTCTTCTTCTTCTTCGACTCGCCTCGCTCCGGTGTCTCTCCTTTAGGCGCCCACTTGGTCCACGGCGAAGAACGGCGGCGGCTGTGGCCGCAAGCGCATTACATAACAGAGTGTTCGAAAGGTGGTGGTGGGTAGTGAGTTCGTCTGCGCGCGCCTGTGTGTGTGTCTGCGTGTGTGTGTGTGCGCGCGCGCGCGTGTGCGTGCGTGTCTCTGTGTCTCGTGATACCAATTTGAGTGCACGGATTGATTGGCCCGCCCGATAGCCGCGTTATTCTGTTTCAGAATAGATTTTACGTTTTTTTTTTTAAACAACCGATTCTAAGAGATCGATGTTGCGTCGAGGCGCGGCTTGTCGGGGTTTAGACTGACGCGAGGAATTCGGAGGACGGACTGAAATCGCGCAAAGTTGATGCGCAACTGGGATTCAGCAACAAACCCACTCGGTCGAATGTCTTCGCTTTAGAACGAGACGGCGCCAGATGACAAAAACGATGATGATGGTGTGGTCAATGTTTCCACCCCCCCCGCCCCCGAAGCAATAATTTTACACACCTCAATCCTATTTCCGTGAATAATTATAACACTAATGATGATGATGGTGGCGGCGGCGGCAGGTGGTGGTAATTCTGACGAAGACGGAGCAGCAGTTAGTTGTCCGGAATCGGTCGCGTGGTTCACTCCGACGTGACGCCGCACGAATTCCTTGATGGATTCGCGTTGCGCGCTCGTGCAGCGAGACGCATTCCCGACTTTCAGCCCGGGGCAGCGAGCAGCAGTAGCAGCAGCAGCGGCGGGCAGCGGCCGAGCATCAGCGACGGCAGCCCTTCTCGCGAGCTCAGCGGCAGCAGCAGCGGCGGCGGCGGCAGCGGCAGCAGCAGCCCCCCCGCTCTGCGCTCACTCGCTCATTTGAAACGCGGAGCGCGGAGCTGTCGAGATGACGCGGCGCGCTCGCTGCGTCTCTGCGTCACGGCGCTCCGTTTCTATTCCGCTTCTCCGCTTTCGCTCTGCTCCTCCGCGCTGCTTCTGTCAGGAGGTGGGGTGGGGGAGAGGGGGGTGCAGAGAGCTGTGAGTCCCCACGTGGCTGCCAGTGGGCAGTGGTTCCACCGTGAGGATGACGGTGGAGAGGATTATGTGGTGGTGGGTGAGGGTCGTGTGGCGGCGTTGTGAGCTGCGGTGCGGTGTGCGCGACCTCTTAATTATTATCCGGCGGTTCGACTTAGCCCATCCTTCCTGCCGGGCTCATAAAATTGGTACCAATTTGCCGGGAAGTCGGCAGCGGTAGTCTTAATTATGAAGACTTGTCCCCTGCGATGGGAAGGTGGAACTTCCGCTACTGGCTGAAGATCGCTAAGGGGGGGGGGGGGGGGGGGGGTGGGGGGTGAGTAACGCCTCCCAGAGACCGTTTGAGCAGTGTGGCACACGCGACCTCAACATGCGGCAAAATGTGACCATTGACGTGCTGATAATCCATGCACAGAATGAAGCCAAGTGGACACACACACTTCTAAATTAGTCATCATCAGCAGCAGCAGTGGTGACCGTGATCTATCCACCGCTGGATGAAAGCCTCTCCCAAAGAGCCCTCACCAATCGCTCACGAGCAGGCGCTGCAATAATGGTTCCAGCGAGGCTGCCACAATCGCGCGAGCTGATTTCATGGCTCCCATCTCCAGGGCGGACGTGCCCGTGTTGACGCCTTCCATCCCTGCGACTGCCACTCCGTCGTTACCCTTAACGGTCAAGAATTACCCTGCCGAAAATTCACGATCATGATTCCGGCTTAAGAGCGCAACAAAAACAAACACAAAAAAAACCCCAAACAGTATTTCACCTTTTAGTGCCGGCTTCCTGACACTTCGCGTGATTAGCTTTGGAATCCCACGATCCCAGGTGGGCCTTATTACTTTTATTTGTGGTGTAAATTTTGGGCTTATTGTTGTCATGGCCTAGCCTCGCCCCTTACCCAACCGCCCCCAACCCCGCCCCCACCTCGAACCCCCTCCACCACAATTTTTGGGGGGGGGGGGGGGGGGTAGCACTTATTACATATCCTGTATATGTGAACCGTGAACCATAAATCGTTGACCGAAACGTCGGCCATTATATATTGCATGTATTTAAGGCCAGTTATTGACGAACGTGTTGGGGTTTTTTGTTGTTATTTGTGCTTTTGCACCAATGCCAACTTTGTGGTGAAATTAGCGGCATCTGACAGCTGCCTGGATCCGGTTAAATACACGTTACATATCACCAAACGGTATATGAATCCAAAAAGCATCCATACATTTATTTGTGCGCTTAGATAATCGATATCAATCGATGGATCGTTACATCCCTAATATATTTCGAAAGGCATCTAGTTAAATATTAAATCAGGAGTTCATCGTTTAACCTAAGGCCTACTCGATGAGCTAAAATTAACGCTTTTACCAACTCGGGCTTAAAGCGATTGCGCATTAACGGTTGGTCTGTGTGTAACGGGGATGGCATGATAACTCTCGTAAAGGTGATGCAATGAATACTGAACGAAACTCGTGTTGCTTTTCGGAACACGCCCTATTGAAAAGAGACCAACATTGATCCAAAGGGGTGGCCTTTAAGTCTTTGAGACGGAATTCAGAACAGGGAATATCTCGGCATTGGATAAATATGCAAATGAGACGTTCTACAAGAGCTTACTCGCTGGCCTTCCAGAATATGCACTTCAAATTAAATACCTTTGAAGACAGAACGCCTCCTGGAAAGTGTAGCATAACATGCTTGTGCGTGTTTTTCCCCTAATTTGTCCGTTTTTTAATGTTTTTTTTTGTAGTGATCAATAGTTTATTGACACTTGCGTTTGCTCGTCTACGAATGGGAAATGATGTTTTCTGCGACGGTTTTGTTGTTGTTGTTATTGTTGTTGCTGTTGTTGCTGTTGCGGTAAAATCCCCGCGGCGAATTGTAAACACCGCTTCGCATTCTGTTTCGGTGAACAAAGCGCAGATAATGAGATAGACTCGGCAATTGCTCGAGCTTTGGATTTTAGTTGGGTTGGGCCTAGTGCAGGCAATAGATGGATAATTCCCCATTCGAACGCAGATTAGATATGATTGCGTAAGACCGCGGCGTCAAATTTGCATATCGGATGGCGGCTAGCAATTTCGCTACTGCACCTACTGAGTTATCTGAGTCGTTTGTTGTCCCTGTCGATCAATTCACTGCCGGATGAAGGCCTCAGAACCCGTACCATGTCGGTGGTTGAGTGTGGTTTTACCATACTTCACCACGTTGGTAAGTCCCGATGGGTGGAGGGGAGAGAGACGCAGTACCGGTTTAGATATGAACTGACTACAGCTGATGATAGCCCTGGCTGGAAATCGAACTCTGATCGCCGGATTCAGAGCACGGAGTGCTAACCACTTCACCACCGCTCATCGCATACATACCTATCACCACCCATAATATCGGCACTGTCTACAAAGTATATATATGTGTGTACCATTCAATATTTTGCAAATTTGAAGGGGCGAATTGCAAATGATATGTTTAGTGTGTTTGGGTTTGTGGTTTGTGCAATAACCTTCACTGTATGCCCTCTAGTGGTTTCATAAAAAGGTGGGGGCCATTGGTTTAAACGCTATAAAAAAACAACCGTTCGAATATAAAACCCTTACGAATATAATGTGTTATGCCCGAAACGTCGCATGTTATAATATTTTTTTTTCCTTTTAACGCCACAGTGTCATTTGTTATTGAGCACCACTGCCAACGCAGCAGCAGCAACGTCACCAAAAAAATGGTTTACGGATTATATTTACCAGCGCTGTGAATGTATAGGCAGGGTTTCATTTCAACCGGAGCTGTCCCGGTGCTGATCTCCGGAAAATGTCTCAGCACCCGGCACACCACGTCCAGAATACCATTCACTGCGGTTGTGGCGACGAGAACGCACTCCCGTCGTCTCATTCCACCACGGCCCCAGGTCGCTTCTGAAAAATAAGCGAATTGCTCAAGTAAGCTTAACCTCGGAAGATAAGCAAAAAATATTTTTTTATTTGCATATTTTTTTTAAAGAAATGATTTGTTAACCTTTCCTATACTTTGCACTCCTATCGTGTTGTTTTCGCTGTTTGTTGTTGTACTATTCTGACCCCGTGCCCCTACTGGACATCGGTGAAAAGAGCTTTGTAGCTCATCGGATTCCTCCAGCATAAATAAACATTCTTATTCCAATTCAGGGACGGGACTTATGCCCCTGCTTATAAATTCACGGATATACCTTCTTTTTACAACATTAACATTTAGACCGGCCACGAGTTATAAATAATCAACGTGGTTGTGAATAATTATCGCGTACATCAACACGAATTTAATTTAGAACCGCTCGTTTTCCGTAAAAAGAAAAATTGTATGACATTGCAGTGTACGACCAATGTGCTCAAGACCACATTGCACGGTATTCGGCCATCAGATCTCCGAAGCTGAGCAGGTTTTTGAACCTGTACATTCTTCAGACCACCAAACGCGTGGCATGCATTATGTATAGGTTGCTACTGCAGCTGCTTGGACTACATGATGGGCAGCATAGTGCAGTACAGCAATGGACTTTTTTATTATTTGTATGAACTGCACCGTGGCGAAGTACGGTAAAACACTCTTCATGGACCGCAGGGCGTGGGCGTTGGCCCTCATCCGGCACCGGATTGACATGTAGATATTTTGACCAGACTTCACCACGCTGGTCAGTGCGGGTTATTGGTCACGGTTGAGGTCTGCAATACTTGAGGCATGCTGTACTTAAACTAAAAACAATACATTTGGTGGTAATTCATCGCTATCACCAACCGTGAAACCTCTCTTTAATGAGGCAGCAAGCCCCAGTCTGGTGATTCTCTTGTTGGTTAAGACACGGAATGTCAAAACCGGCCCTTGCCTATAGCATCTGCCACTTCACCAGCATTGATTCAAGCAAAGCCTGGACTCTGCTGTTGAAGAGGACCCGTCGCTCGAAACCCGGTCCAGAGTTGATGTGTTTTTTTTTCTCTGTCTCTCTCTCTCGTCTTGATAGCAACGCTGCTGAAATGACGCAAAACACAATTTGCCCGATGTTCAATCACCGCTTGCCACCACGGGAGGGAAGGCGAGAGAACCATTGTTGTGGCTGCGCCTGAGTTGTTGATTCAGTAAGTGGCCGGTGTGACGAGGGGAATCGGCTGAACCACCCCCTCCTATATAAGAAGGAACCAAAGAAGACACCTCCTCCTCCTCCTTTCCAAGTGCACTCTGGAATTCAAAGTCCTCTTCTGGCTATTGCCGCGGTGTATTAATGCGGCGTGCGTGGTAATGCAGTGTTTCAAAAAGCTGTAAGCGGATACTATTATTATTGTTGTCGTTGCGGCTTTTCACCGTCACCAAAATTAATATGGTCACAGCGCTATCATGTTTTTGCAATGCTAGGCTGCGGGAAGAATAGCCGATGAAAATGTGACATTAATTTTCGATATTTCTAATCAGCTGCATTCTTAAGGAAGCAAAACACACGCAAAATGATGTTGGGTTATTTCCCCCCCCCCACCCCACCCCTACGGTATACCATTCTTCATCTGCCCGCTGTATTATTTTTTTCATTAATATTGACTGCTCTTGTATTTCTTACAGCGTTTGTATCTCGTCAGAATGGCGCATTGCAACGATGAGGGTTATTTCTCCTGTCTCTCTCTCTCTTCTTTTTTGCCAACCGCCATTGTGAGCATAATTATATTTGGAATCTAATTTACAATTTTACGGCAATAACTTATTTACAAGCTTCATTCGGCAATTTCTGCCAACATACATTTGAGATAATATTCGCGTATACAGCAGTGTTTCGGGAAAGGATCTAATAACATATTTGCCGCGTTTTAATCTTAGAAACGTAAGAAGTTACCGAAAATATATACACACACTATCGAGTGTGTATATATTTTTGAGTGTGT